AGTGATCGTTAGTGGCGGTGAACCTCTTACAGGCTGCTTGCTTTCCAATTAGCAATTTAACTAGCCCTCGAGACCACCACCGGGGCTTACTGGGTCTACCATGCGAACAAAAGGGTGGAAAGGCATTGGACAACGACATAAGATTCGTTTTTATTCGGTACCAAATCTCGTGGACATCTGAATCTGTGACGCGACCAAGGGGAAACCCTCAGTATTTAATGCTCTGTATCATTGCCTGGGTTCTAGCCTCGGATCGCGTAGACGACAGACATAATAATAATGATAATAATGTATATTTCACGAAGCCCGTGAAACTTGCACCAGGCACGATCATGTGTTCAAAAGATTCATATGTACAACGACAGTGCAGGTATATACATGGCCTACTTGGAAGATATACATAATAAAGATGGTAGGAGAGCAGAACGAAAACGCTGTGCGAACGGAACACAAAGCGGACGAGGTCACAAACGTAGATGTGGAGGATGGAGGAATTTACTAGGTAAGTATATCAATCGAAATTGAAGTAACAGCTAACCCGGAATCGACAGAATTCGACGTGCGGCAATAATGGGAGAAGATGCGGAGAGACAGACTATGGCACATTAGACGGGAGAAAATAGAGTCACGCGGATAAGAATAAATAGGAGGGAGTACAGCGAGTTCATAGGTTTGTCAAAATACATGTTCCTCATTATGCTGCGACAGCTTGCTTCTGAAAACATATTCATTCGGTTCGGGGCTTCGCTCGGTCATGGACTGATTTAGATTATTTAGGCTTTGGTAGCTTTGATGTTGGACTGACTGCACGCTAGACACCCAAACTTAAAACACCTTGTAAATGAGACAGCGGTTATGATCCTCAACCTGGTCCGAAATGTGGACGCATGCAATTTAAACGGCGGAAACATCCGTGCTCAACAACCATTGCGGGGGCAAATTGTGCATTGTGGGTGTAGACCTCAAGCCTTCGATAGGCCCAAGTCAACCGTATCTGGGACAAAAAAGGCGATTCTCAACAGTCTGGGTTAATACCCAGCTGAGAATCGATGATGGGAGAAAGAGCATGTCACAAAACAATAGGCAAGGTGGAATAATACGGGGTAGTATATAAATATATATAAACGGCATGCATGCAGCGAATGTGACACGCCGTGTAGCCAAACAGGTCTAAGGAGTACACGATTAGAAAGATTTTGAGAACTGGATATGTGGTCACAATACTTCTAAGAGTATGTACCAAGATGGAATGTGTTCCACAGATCCTGCTTTGAAGCTGAATCCGTGTACTGATAGGAATTCGGTAAGGAATAGTCGCGTGGTCAATCCTACTAAGCGGTGATCATAGTTCTAAGTTCACGATTTCATTCTCACCCTCGGTAAACACCAGGTTCAGGGTTTTGGGTGGATTACCTGGTTTCCATCTTGTTGAGTGCTTGATGTGCTGTATCAGGGCTGAGTTGAGCACCATGCCAAGCAACTTCTCTCCGAAGCTGGCGGGTGGTGCATTTTCTGTCGGCCAGTCAATCTCAGGAGCGTTTAGGTCGCCTGAAAACCGAACCCTGTTGGCTTGTGCCGTTACTTACCTGAGGTAGGCGCTCAACTGATCATCCTCCTCTGTGGAGGACCGAGAACTACGGTATGTGCAAACTACTGCTACTTCATTATGAGATTCTTTTAGCAAACACCCAGTGGATTGGATGTTCGCTGTCCCCAGGTTAGTTATGGATAGTTGTGGTAGGTGTTCCGTTACGAGTATTAGTGAACCACCGCCGATGCGACCATCAGTACGATCACAGCGATAAGCCAAAAGACCTAGTCGGTGTAGTGTTGAGGTCTGGTTTTAGCCACGTTTCAGTGACTGCTATGCAAGTGGCAGTTCCTGCTTCTGCTAGTGTTGTATTGGAAAAGATACTAGATATACGAATAATAATGAAATAAACGGTACAAGGTGTTACGGCCGCCCGCTGGAACTGTCTTATACGCGAACCGCTCAATCGAACGCCTCGTGATCCCGCAAATCGTACGTTTCTCTGCCACAAACCCAA